TGAGTGCATGAGCTGACACTGCCTGGTAGAGGACATGGGGAAACACACATTCCCCTTCATTGTCTTGAGATAAAAAATTGGTGGGGTCTTTTTGGAGGACAGCTTGATAATATTTATTCAATTTTTTAAAAGTACATATTCTTTTTTTTCTCTTCTTTCTTTCTTTCCATTTTTCCCACAGTCTCTGTAACCTAAGAGAAGTACATATTCTTTGATCTAAGAAGGCCACTGCTGCAACAAATAAGGAATTAGAGAAATAAATGATCATATCTTCTCCCAACAGAATATGAACAGGTATTAAAAAGAATGAGAGATATTGACATGAAAAATCTGAAAGACTGTATGGCAGGCTATTAATAGTAGCTATATATCAGGCAAGGGAGCAAGGGATGGCATTGAGGGGAACAAGATTATACTGGTCTTCAGATTTTTTCCATATCTAAAAAAAGTAACACACACATAACTTGGTAACCAGAAATAAATTTCTTTTGTATGGGGAAGAGTTAGGACCTTCCAAATGAAAACAAGTAGAGTTACAGTTTTAAGGAAAAGCGCAGCCCAAGGTAATGCAGAGGATAGGCAGTAAACGTGCATGGGGAATGGGTGGATAGGAGGTGCTGTGGGACTGTCAGGGGCTCACTACAGGGCCTTTACCTTGGATAATTCATCAGGGCCCAAGGTCTAGGGTCTGGGCTTCTGCCTTGAATCTCTGTTTCAGGGTCAAAACCATGGCCAGCAAGAGATGAGGGTGTAGAAGGCACCTCTCTTCGGAGGCTATGACCATGAACACTGGCCAATTTCCAGCTCTCAGGATTTTCCTTTCTAGCCTTTGGCCTGACCATCCTCCTCTGTCCTAATGATCTCCCTTCCACTTTGGATATCACAATTGCTTTCTAATCCTGCTTCCTTGGGATTGTCACCGGAGTACCAAAATTGGAGCAGTGGGTGTTCTTACATGCTTTAGTCACAGATTGCTGATAATCCTGTGGTTACTCTCACAGGTGACTGATCCCATCCATCAGGCATGGTTTGATTATATGAGAGTGTAACATCATTCCAATGGTAACAGAGGCATAACCTGTGCATTACGCTGGGCGAATTCTAAATGCTGTGTTTCATTTCAGTCCTGGGCTAGATGACCCAGTGTAACCCAGTGACACCCCTGGCCTCCCACCTCTGACCCAGGAGTGCCCTTGCCTGTGAGTGTGGGATGTGGATGTGGGGACTAAAGAGTGTTGGTGTTCACTCTTTCTTATTAAGCTTCTCCTGGTCTAAAACAAAACAATTTCTTCCTCTAACCATTTTGAAAGTATACACTACAGGCCGTGTGCATTACTGAGAAGAGGAGGCTCCCTCTCTTCTGGGTCTTGCATTTGGATGGGTAGTGAGTGACGCAGGAGAGAGGCCAAGGGCTTGTTCCAGTGGAAATTACTGACGGAAACAAGGCAGGAGTTGACATTCTCAGGTACAGACTCACCTGGATAGAACTTCTCCAGAGATAAGTGGGGCAAAGGGAGAAGAAAGATGGGGGAGGCCAGAGGGAAAAGGAGACCATAGGAAAGGTCTGGCCATTGAGCTGGCTAGGTGAGTGAGGGAACTCGGGTCCTGGCAGTGGAGCACCCACCTGAGTCCGACGTTGTTGATATCATCCCACATGGAGGCAGGGGTTTCCCAGAATGCCTTACTCCTGGTGTTCAGGATTGTCTGGAAGGCACAGGGAGGGTGATGAATAATCTGAAGGCAGGGAGGTGTGAGGGGCTGGGTAATGAAAGGGACAATGAGTGGGGATGAAGACGCAGGGGTTAAAGGGGGTGGTCAGAAAAGTGGAGCTGGGACCAAAGTTCAAAGGGTACCTGGACCCCTGCATAAGCGTTGTTGACCAGCACATCCAGACGCCCTTGCTGTTCCCGATCCACTTGCTCAAAGAGGCTTCGTACTTCACTCTCCTGGCTTGAATCGCACACCACAGGCACACATTGGCCCCCGAGGGATTGTGCCTGGAGTAGGACAGGTGATATGAGCTCACATTTGCACATGAGTGTGAGTCATGACAAAACTCCCCCGACCAAAAGTAGGCTGAGAACTGAGAAGATAATCCAAGGAGAACCAGCTGCGGAAGCAACATGGCAGGCAATGCTGCCCTCTGGTGTCTGTTTGAGTAGTTTCAAGAATAGGCCCTCCGACCCACCCCAAAGCAAGGTGAATTGAGATGTAAGTTTTAATAATCTGCAAACATTGACTGAGGCCCACCATGTGCAAGGCATTGTACTCTGCAAGTAGAGGGTAAGAACAAGTGAAGCATGGAGCCTGTTCCTGAGACATGAATAACCATCTTTTTCCTTGTGGTCATTTCCATCTCTCATGTCCTTAGCTCCCACCCTTGACCACTCACCTAGAACCTCTACTCAGTCCCAGCTCTTATCCTCACTCCACCAATGTGCCTGCTTAGTAATTGAAAAAAACTAAAGCTATCTGCCATGAATGATTTCTACTTCCTGGTCTGTCTCACTCTCTACAAATGCCCCCAATCCTCCAACTTCAGAGGAAGAAGAGTCCCTTATCCAAGAACAATCCTATTCTCCAAATTTATGCTCTGGGTCCCATCCTATTACCCTTCTTGCCTGAACTACCTCAATGCCTCCCAACTACTCACCTGACCTCCAGTCTGTCTGGCTTAAATTAATTCTTCATAATCCAGCCAGCACAAACTATCTAAAACACAAAATTCAAAATCTCCTAACTGGATCACCATCTCGTAGAGAATAAAGTCTGAGTTCTCTACTAGGGTCTTCCAAGACCCACTCTTTCCTCTCCAGCCTTTCACACACTACTCTTCCCTTGCAATATCTCACAACATCTACTCTTTCACCCACTGATCCTATGCTTATGAAGCTCCCTCTGCTGGAATGCTTTTCCTAATTTCCTTTACCTACCTCTTACCTTTCAAAACTCAGTTCAAGAACCACCTACCTCCTCCAGGGTGTTTTCCTAAGCCTCTTTCCCTAGCCACCCCCTATGTCATCTGGATGCTCCCCAACACCCTAGAGCATTCTGTGCATATATCTCCCTCTTATAATTTGCCATATTAACATAACATTGAAATGACTGCTTTCTGCCCCTGACTTCCTGTTGCAATCTATCTTCATTTTAATGGTTTTTTTTTTGAGATATGGGATCTTGTTATCACCCAGGCTGGAATGCAGTGGTGCAATCATAGCTCACTGCCACCTCGAACTCCTGGGCTCAAGCGATCCTCCTGCCTCAGCCTTCCAAGTAGGTGGTACTACAGGTGCAGGCCACCATGCCCAGCTAATTATTTAAAACACTTTTTTGTAGAGACTGAGTCTAGCTTCATTGCCCAGGCTGGTCTCCAACTGCTGGCCTCAAGTGATCCTGCTGCCTCAGCCTCTCAAAGTGCTGTGACTACAGGCATGAGCCATAGTACTCCGCCATGGACTGAAACTTTGAAGAGCATAAATTAGATCTTATTAGACTTGGTAACTTCAGTGTTTTACCCAATCCCTAGTAAATCATGTGTACTCAAATATTTACTTAACTGAAGTCTAGTAAATAAGTAAAAAATGTACAGTTCAGTAAAGTCTTGCCTAAAATAGAGGAAAGCATAGGTCCACAATCCTTTAGTTGAAATTCAAAATCTCTGCTCTCAAACACAAGGTGTTTTGTTTTGTTTTGACAGCGTCTCCCTCTGTCCTCTAGGCTGGAGTGAAGTGGCTTTATCCATTCCTAGGCTTAAGTGATCCTTTCGCCTCAGCCTCCAGAGTCGCTGTTAGGAGCATGCCACCATGCCTGGCTCAAACAGAGTTTTTTTCATAAAACTCACTTGGGGGCAAAATTCTACCTTACCTGAAGTTATTTATGGAGTTTTAAATTTCCGCTTTGAATAAATATTCACGTCTTGTTGAGTAGTGGCATAGTTGCAGGTAAGGGATTAGGAGAAGGATTGGGTAAGTGGAAAGGCTCTCTCGGGTGGTTTCTGCAACTGTAGAAGCACTCACCTCCTGAGCAGCAACGCGAAGGGTGTCCATATGGCGGCCAGTGATGTAAACTGTGGCACCTGCTTTGCAGAGCTGCAAGGCGATGCCACGGCCAATGCCCCTGGAGGCACCAGTCACCACACACACTTGGCCCTTCATGGGAGCTGCCATGACTCACAGGCAATGGAGGAAGGTCTGTGGAAGCAAAGACTTGCTCTGAGGGAAGCCTGTAGACTGTGTGTGTGTGTGTGTGTGTGTGTGTGTGTGTGTGTGTGTGTGTGTTGGGGGATAAGGGGGAAACTCACAAGAGTAAGAGGAGAAGCCAAGGTAAGAATCCTTTGAGGGGAGAGGAGTCAGAGGCGGACAACTGGGTGCGGGCCTGAGGGCAAGGATGACTGTCTCTTTTGGGAGGCCCAGGGAGTGAAAAAGGGGCTGACTGTCCAGAGGTGGGCAACTACTGCGACCCTGAGTGTAGCTGCCTGAATGGGGAATCTGGCGCGGCAGCCACTCGGGGCGCGTCCACGCAGAGTCATGGGCTATCTGGAGCTCTGGACCCCGGCCTGACCCAGTCCGGGCCGAGCCAGAGGCGCGGCTCCCGGGCCTGGGGATGAGCGCGAAGCCTGGAGCTCCTAAGCCCTAAGTGGGAGAAGCGTGTGCCGCTTACCTGCCAACTGCACTGTCGCTGAGGTCCTCGCGCCGACTAGCTCGTCACACACGTGTAACTACACATGAACTTTAATTCCGGCCGCAGGAGAGGAACGAAGTGACTACGACTGGGACAGATTGCGGGGCTGCGGTGGAAGTCCGGGTTCTGGCCTGAATTGAGCCGCTGACGAGGAGGCAGGGCTCAAGGATTGATTGCATAAAAGTACTCGGGGAGATTCTGTGCGTGGGCGGAGGGGCATTGTCCTGGGCCAAAGCTGGAAAAAAAAAAAAAAAAAAAAAAAATCTGCGAATGGAGGTGGAGCGATCTGGGGGACACACCCACTCTGTCCGTCTGGAGCCGCGCGGAACTATGACGTAGTAGCTGCGCCAGGAGCGCGCCCGCTTTTCTAAACTCGGTCTGGACCAGGCCCACGCTTGGCGACGTTGGAGGTCCGTCCACTGCTGAGGAAGCTTTTGCAGCCAGACAGGTCCCGAAGCTCACATGGGGCTGGGTCCGCGCTCTCCACACAAGGTTGGGCGCCGGTTCCCAGCTGGTGGCAAACGGGGGCGCGGGGCCAAGGGGTCGGGGCGCCCCTCACCTGGCCGCGAACGGCAACCCCGGCCGCCTCCGGTTGGGCTCTCGGAGCCGGCTGCAGATTCGCACCCGCACCTAAGTCCCGAAGCTCTGGGATATTTCCGCCGGGCGCTGTCCGCACTGAAAGAGGCTCCCGAGACTGGGGAAGAACGAGGTAGGCAGCAGCTTCGGGTTTTAGACCAAGAGCATAAAATCCAGGGCAGGCAAGGAAACTTTCTAGAGTTGGCATGGCGTTGGGACTTAGTTTCATTTCCCATGTCCTCTTCCTCGGCCCCCAACCCACGATCCTTGGTTAAGTGAGGGTACGTAACCGTATTCTCTTAAGTCTCTTCAAAATGTTTCTTTCTTCGCTTTTCCAGATCTGATGGTGCACAATATTATGAAGGAAGTAGAGGCTCAGGCCCTAGCCTTGTCCACGAACAGGACTGGCAGTGAAATGCTGCAGGAACTGTTGGGGTTCAGTCCTTTGAAACCACTTTGTCGCGTATGGGCTGCTCTGCGCTCCAACTTGCGCACTGTGGCCTGTCACCGATGCGGGGTCCATGTATTGCAAAGTGCTTTGCTACAGCTCCCTCGATTGCTGGGAAGTGCTGCAGAGGAGGAGGAGAGGGAGGAGGATGGGAAAGATGGTCCCACGGAGACCCTGGAGGAGCTGGTCCTGGGACTAGCCGCTGAGGTGTGTGATGATTTTCTCTTCTACTGTGGAGACACACATGGCAGCTTCGTGGTCAGAACTCTGCTGCAGGTGTTAGGAGGGACTATTCTGGAGTCTGAGAGAGCCAGGCCCCGTGGTTCCCAATCATCTGGTAAGTATTACAAGAGGAAAGTGGACCTAGTGGGAAGAAGAATTTAGAAAGTTCAGAAGAAGACAGTAAATAGAAGAGTAAGTCTTCATGGGGGAGCTTGACCTGTCCTAATCTGGACAGGGTTTAGCAGGCCAAAGATTAGTCTGTGCAGAGGCCCAGAGGTAAGGATGTACAATTGTGTTTAGATGACAGCTGTTAGAATGAATGCAGAAGGATAATTTTTTTTTGAGATGGAGTTTTGCTCTTGTTGCCCAGGCTGGAGTGCAATGGGGTGATCTTGTCTCACCACAACCTCTGCCTCCTGGGTTCAAGTGATTCTCCTGCCTCAGCCTCCCGAGTAGTATGGATTACAGGCACTCACCACCACGCCCAACTAATTTTTAGTAGAGATGGGATTTTTCCATGTTGATCAGGCTGGTCCCAAACTCCCGCCTTGGCCTCCTAAAGTGCTGGATTACTGGTGTGAGTCACGGCGCCCAGACAATGTTTTTTTTTTTTTAAAGCATGACTTAACATACAAATGTGTGTATACTGGACTCAATCAGAAGTTCAGGAAACAATACCCTTACTACATGCAGCCCACTCTGTTATTTTCTTTCCTTTTCCAAACTTTATTCTGCTCTATTTCATTAAAATAAGGATGCTAGTCAAGACTACTAACTTGATTTCATGATACAGTCTTGGGTTGTGATCCACATTTGAAAAAACTCTAGGAAACAAAGAGAGTTTAAATGAGACTTGATTTTGGAATGCCTTGAATACCTGGCTGAAGAGGTTGAACTGTCTTCTGTGGACCATGGGGAAGCTGGTTGAAGCTTTTTAGAAAAATTAAGACAGAAATGTAGTCTCAGTTCAGTCATTCAGAAGAGACATTGAGTGGTACTTCAAATGTTCTGCATCTCCAAGCAGAATCCTTGTTCATCTATGGAATTTTTCTCTTCTGGGTGGCAGTTTGTGATCTCCGTGCTGCACATGTTCTTAATCTTCCTTCAGAAGCACAGAGGGCCCCAGCCCGGGAATGTAAGCCAGCTGATTTTGAAGTCCCTGAAACCTTCTTGAATCACCTTCAGGACCTGAGCTCCTGCTTTCTGAAGGACATTGCAGGTAAGGAGAGAAGTAGGAGGAGGTTCTCATACCTACTTTTCTAAAAGTGATTGTTACCAAGCAAGGCCCTTGGGTCAGGTTATTCCTCATCTTTTCAAACCTGGGCTGGTTTGACGCTGAAAGCACTATATATAATCCCTTTGTGTACATAGTGCCCTGTATCTTTTTGCCTAAAGTTTGAGGGTATGCAGGTTGTCTGGATTTTGGGAAAGCTGCTTTATTTCTGCCCTCTCTCCACAGTATTTATCACTGATAAGATCTCCAGCTTCTGTCTTCAAGTGGCCTTACAGGTTTTACATTGCAGACTACCCCAGTTTTGTGCCCATCTTTGCAATGCTGTGATTAGTTACTTGAGTACTCGCAGTTCCTCAGTAGATGGCAGGTATGATCGGGTCTTAGGATTGACCAAAGTTGGTGGGGCTGTGTGAAATGAATGAGGTGATGTAGTGCAACTGGATTTTGCATAAAATGGAGTTAAGACTGCCTGATGCCCTTCTTGTCCCTAGTCCCCTACTGCTATTTCTCCGAGATCAGACGAGCTCCAGACTCCTGGAGCAGGTCCTGCTGGTGTTGGAGCCCCCAAGGCTCCAGAGCCTCTTTGAGGAGCACTTGCAGGGGCAGCTGCAGACCCTGGCTGCACATCCCATTGCCAACTTCCCTTTGCAGCGCTTACTGGATGCAGTCACTACCCCTGAACTGGTGAGTTGGAAACCTGGGCTGGATCTGTTTCTGCTAATTCTTGATCATTGGACCTTATTTTATGGCGTGCCTGCCTCTATATATTTTTGACATTGTGCTGGCCATTCCTCTTGAAAAATTGTTCCTTGAGGTTTTCCAGAGCTTAGGATAAAGGTGCCCACCTTCTAGTGAGAATTTGTTTTGGCTTCTCTCAGGTATGAGGACCAGCAAGAGACTGACTTCATTCAGGTTTACAGCTTGAGGTTCCATGGCCCACCCAGACTCTGGTACTTGGCTATAAGTCCACATGAGTGCTAGAGCTGTTGCCATAGCTTCTCTTTTCCCTTGCTGCTGGGCTTCCCTGTGGTCTCATGAATTGGGGGTTAGAGTGGAAGGGCAGGTTTAATTTTAGTCCCCCCTTGCCCCTAGTTCTCCCTTACACATAGGGAACAGCCACTTAAAGTTTCTTCCTGTGAGGTGGCACCTCTAAGACTGCCCACTTGTCCTGGGCCTTATCTATCCAAACAAAAGTCCTGATACTGGCATTGCTTTTTATCTAGCATTTTTAGTTGTTTTCAGTGGGAAGATTTCTCTGAATAATGTAGTCTACCATTACCAGAATGCCACAGTTATATCCCATGTTTCCCATCAGCTGTCCCCTGTGTTTGAGGAGCTGAGCCCTGTCCTAGAAGCTGTATTGGCTCAGGGCCACCCAGGGGTAGTCATTGCCCTGGTGGGGGCCTGTCGCAGAGTCAGGGCCTACCAAGCCAAGGTCCTACAGCTCTTGTTGGAGGTAAGTAGATATTACCCACAATCTGTTTATGCCATCAGTCCAACTCCTACAGTTAGGACTTATCTAATCTTAAGTTGTTGTACCTTTGGACTCAGGAAGTCTAATACCCAAGGAGTTTACAGGAATGGGGGAAAAGATGCCAAATTATTTTTGTTGTTGTTGAGACAGAGTCTCGCTCTGTCACCCAGGCTGGAGTTCAGTGGTGCCAGCTCGGCTCACTGCAACCTCCGCCTCCCTAGTTCAAGTGATTCTCTTGTCTCAGCCTCCCAAGTAGCTGGATTATAGGTGCCTGCCACCACACCCAGCTAGTTTTTGTTTTTGGGGTTTTTTTTTTGGCATTTTTAGTAGAGATGGGGTTTCACCATGTTGGCCAGCCTGATCTCGAACTCCTGACCTCAGACAATCCATTACCAAACGGGATCATCCTACCTCAGCCTCCCAAAGTGCTGGGATTATAGGAATGAGCCACTGTGTCTGGCTGAGGCCAAATGTTATTTCACAGTCCTAGAATAAAAATTGTCTCCCAGAGCTAAGAGAGAAGTGTATTTAAGGGATAAATGTTTATTAACCTCTGTATGTGATGGAGTCTAGGGATACAGCAAGGCATGAAATTCTGCTGTCATGGAGCTCACATTCTTACGGAGTTAGGCCTTCTTTCCTTTCCTGAAGATGTTCCCTTAAATGTGAGGTTAGGGATGGAGAAGTTCTCACATTCATCACATTTTGTCTTCTCCTTTAGGCATTCCACTGTGCAGAGCCCTCATCCCGGCAATTGGCCTGTGTGCCTCTCTTTGCCACTTTGATGGCTTATGAGGTGTACTATGGACTGACGGAGGAGGAGGAGGCAGTGCCTGCGGAGTACCAGGTGAGATAGGGAAGAGGCTAAGCTGGTGACTAATTAGGAGCCAGGCCTCCCAGGGTTTAGCAGGCCTCTGACTCCTGAGGTGAGAGTGGTGATTTCATGCAGGTGGAGGTGGCAGTGTCCTGGGGATGGGCTCATCCACCTGCCTTGTTGGTGCCTCCTAATTTCCTACCTCTGTGTTCCCAGGTAGAAACAGCCTCAGCCAGGGCCTTCGGGGAAGTGACAGTTCTTGGGTCTCTACTGCTGCAGCATCTGCTGCACTTCTCTACTCCTGGTCTTGTACTTCGAAGTCTGGGTGCCTTGACGGGACTACAACTTCTGGCTCTTGCCCAAAGTCCTGCTGGCTCTCATGTGCTCGATGCCATCCTGACCAGCCCCTCTGTGACGCGCAAGCAGCGCCGCCGTGTGCTGCAGAACCTAAAGGTTAGATTTCTGGCTTCTGCCTTGATTCCCCACCATCATCCAATTAGAGAATATGACCTTCCCCAGTACTATACCTTCAGATGCAAAGAGGCTATATACTTCCTAGACTATTTTAACTCAGCCCCTAAACTCTTCAGAAAATTCACTCCCTGCAAGCCCCCAAAATACACTTTTGTGGACTTTGCTAGGGGGACCTTCTTTGTTTGTCTCAATACAGGGACAATATGTGGCTCTGGCCTGTAGTCGCCATGGCAGCCGTGTGCTAGATGCCATCTGGAATGGAGCAGCCTTGGGGGCCCGGAAGGAAATTGCTGCTGAGCTGGGTGAGTACCAGCCCCTCTCTTTGATGTTTCCAGACTTTCCCTTCTTTTACTCCAGATCTCTGGGTGGCTGGGGAGTCTACTGAAATTCAGCAGTCTTCAGTTCCAAAGGGTGGTCTTGCTCATGGGTTCTTAGCAGTCTGCTTTCCCCTTCCCTTCTGCTGACTGACTGTGCAGTTCTCTGCCCTCACCCCACCCTCTGACTTCTGTTCTTTGGAAAGTGAGGTGTTCACTTTATCCTAGTGGCAGTTCCAGGGTCTGGGGGAAATGGAGGGATCTTTACCTCAAGTAGTGTCTGTCTTTGAGCATGGGTGGTACTAAACATGAGTGATTCTCTTTGCAGGGGAGAAGAATCAGGAGCTGATAAGAGACCCTTTTGGCCACCATGTGGCTCGAAATGTGGCCTTGACTACCTTCCTAAAGCGGCGAGAGGCTTGGGAACAGCAGCAGGGTGCGGTGGCCAAGCGGAGGCGGGCATTGAACTCCATACTTGAAGACTGAGGCTTTGGATCTGGGACTGGGTGTTGATGGGGGAGGACAATAGGGAGTATCCATCCCATTGCTTTCCTGTTTAACTTGGAGTCAAAAGTCTTAGTAGTAAATATTTCATATTTTTATTGAAAATGTTTTTGTTATTTTTGGGGGAAGGGTATGAAGACAGATTTCAGGGTAAAGTCAGAGGGGGCTGTCATCAGTATGCTGGGGAGTTTAGGGACAGGAGGCCTTGGTAGGGGATTAGAGGTAGCAGCAAACAGGCTCAGATCAAGATGCCTGGGGTTAGGTTTATGACCTTTGAGGGCAAGTGGGAGGCAGAAAGGTGGCTAGGAAGGAAGAGCATTCTTCAGGTAAGGGTATAGACTTGGGATGTGAGGTGTTATGCTGAAAGGTTCTGTCACGAGGGGGTCAGAGGACAGTGGGGAAATTGGGTAAGGTATCTAGCCTGTACTGTCTTCAGGTCCTGAAACTTGATGCTGTCACAGTCTTTGCAGTGTGTATCTTGGAATGGGTCTGGTGACAGAAGCCCAGAGGCCCTTCTTAGTAGGAATGGAGGCGGCCCTTTTGCTGCCACTTCTCAGCTCCCTCTACTACATGGTGAAGGGTGGAGGAAATTCCCAGCAACATGTGGCCCAGGCCTTGCAGCAGTGTGGAGGTCCAACGAAGGAGCTCCCTGAAGGGCAGAGATAAGAGGAAATCAGATGATTCGGGAAACCTGGGAGGAGGCTATCAAGCTGGGAGATGAGGACTTTCCACAAGTGAGAGCTAACTAGGGTTAGGTGGGTGCAGGAGGAGGAATGATGGGGACTATCTGACTGTAGGGGATGGGGAAGTATGACATGTTGATTTCTGACCTGAGTACTTTCTTTGGGCCAAGTCCTTGAAAGTCACAGCTCATAGAGTAGAGCCCGTAGAATGTGGCTTTGATGTTCAGGCTGCCAAAGAGGTCTCGAGGGTTTTGCTTGTACACGTCAAAGGTGATGCGGGCGATGTCCTTGCTGTGCTTGGGCCTCTCCCGGCCCAGGCCGTATGACAGCACTCCACTCTGTAGGACACCCCATCAGTGCAGTAGATCCTCACACCAGACATCCACCACTAATCCCCATCAGCACTGGGTCAGACCCTCCCTGGCCTGGACTTGTCCATTGTGTGACATCCTTGACAATTCCACAACTCCTCCTGCACCTCTGTCCCCAGGATCAGGGTTAGGCTAGACAGGAAATGGGAGAGCTATAAAGGATGGGCAGTGGAAGCAGCCCCAGTATAAGCCTTACCCTGATGGGACTCCAGCTCTGACCAGACTCCAGCACCATCAGGCGCGTGTCATCCTCCAGCAGCTGGAAGAAGTCTTCACTGTCCACTGCAGTTCCATCCTCCTCTAGCACCAGGGTTAGCACTCCATTCAGCAGTAGGGTCTCCAATGCCTGCCCAATGTCAAGCAGCAGAAAGGAAGGGCAGGTCTTAACCCATGCCCTTTCCCTCATTAGCTGCCCAACATCCGTCAGTTGGGACTAGACATTGGTTAATGTCCCACCTCGACTTCCTGGGACTTTGCCATCCCTCCTAAAGGCTACTGCTCTCAGTGTTCTTGAGTTGTTGGGGGATCCTAGCTAGAGGCTGACCTTGTTCCTCTTTGCTCCTACCATGTCACTGGCATCTCCCCTTGATCCCTTCCAAGTCACTTCTCCTGTTTTGGAATTGGAAAGCAAGCCAGGTTCTCCTGAAGTCCACCCTTCTGTCCTACAGTGCAGCACCTCACTTCCCACACCCTCAGAGTTCTCCAGAAGTGTCTCCAGTAAAGTACTTAACCTTTTTGAGTCCTTATTCTGTGCCAGGTATGAGGACTTTACCTACATTATCCTCTCACTCCTTTCAATAACCCTAGGAGGTGGTGATTACTGCCTTTTTATAGATGAAGAAACTGAGGTTTTGATAGGTTGAACAACTGGACAAACTCACTGTGGAGTGGGGAACAGGAGAGGAAGGGAACTGCTGAATCTTCTAGGGGCTGAATGGAGTTTTGTTGCCCTGCCCATATCCCCTAAAGGTGGAGGGTACAGCGGAGGGTTTGACAGGAAGTGGCAGAATTTGAACTTGATTTGTCATACAAATCACCTTTCCATACTGGTTTCTGAATTCCATCCCGCCAGCTCTCCCTATCCACTGCTTCCCCTGCTCCCATAGACAAGCTCACTGTGGAAAATGAACAAATTGACTGGAGGTCATTAGGCCTACCCCACTGTTTTTAGCCCTCAGAGAGAGGGGCAGCTGTGTGACCTCAGCCATCTCTGCTCCATTATCCCAAGTTGTCACTGTTCTCGAGCCCCTTGGCTGCCCCTGCTATAGGACCAAGGAACTGGGCCTACTTACTTTGGCTAGCAGCTCCTGGCGGGTGGCAGCTGTCAGGCCTTTCCGTATGGTCCGCTTGTGATCACAGACACGGAAAGGTCGCTGGGGTGGTGGAGCTGACGTCCAGACCCTCCGTCCAAACTCCGAGCTTATATTAGATACTGACCTGGTCGTTGGGAAGAAAAGTCGAGGAGGGGCTTGATGAGTGTAAGGGGCATGATGGGGGCGGCTAGAGGGCTAGTGAGGGAGGAATGGTTTGGAGATTAGGTATGGGGTAGAGAACATGGAGTGCAGGTGGGCCTGGGTGGCTCAGGAGCTTGATAAGCTCACTGTGGTGTGGGGAGCAGGAGAGGGAGGGTACTGCTGAGTCTCCTAGGGGCTGAATGGAATTTTGTTGCCCTGCCCATATCCCCTAAAGGTGGGGGGTACAGCGGAGGGTTAGCAGTCACCTGAGCAGGTCACTGGGGTTCAGAGCTGAGAGGTACTCCATGGTGGACAGGAGAGTTCCTTCTTCCCTGGAACTTCTGGGCTGAGTGGTTCTCTGCTATGCTGGGGCTTCAGTGGTGTTTTCTGTTACAAACCTGATATCTCAGCCCAGGATGAGGTGGGAATGAGTCAAGCCTGGACTCTGGCCCCCCTGCCTGGCCAGTAAGAAGGGCAAAGTCCAAGGGGAGGGATGAAGGAGGGGCCAGATGTGGTCCTGGAAAAAGAATTGCCCCGCAAAAGCCACCGGAGCTTGTTTGTATGTCTTTGGTGATGGTATGTGTTGTGAGGGTAGATGGGAACCATGTAAAAGGATGAAATGTGACCTCTGGTGTTTCTGTATTACTATGGAGGGAAATTTCTAGGGACAGTTTCTGGCTTTCAGGCTCTGAGAAGCTGCGTTTTGTGAGCGGCTCTGTGTATGCTGCCACCTACTGGAGAAGCCATAAGCTGCAGCATTAGGAAAAGGGAACCCCTGCTGAGTGTGGGGAAGCGGGATGGCAGCATTGCAGGGCTTTAGAAAATGAGAGGTGAGACTGTCCAGGAAGGGTGTGAGGAGAGGATGGATCCTGATCCACGGGTTCAGGATTATTAGGGTCCTGTCTGGGATGCTGGCCTTCCTGCTTACCTGCTCATTCCTCCTTGGTCAAGGGACAGGCTGGCTCATTGCTCTGGCTTCATTTTCCAGAGCTGCCTGCTTCGGCCACACTTAAGTCATCTCTCTCACTTTTCCCCTTTTGCCTATTAATGGACATGAAGGAGATGTGAATGGGGCAGGGATGTCCTTTGACAGGATCAAGACTTTAGCTTTTGCTGCACTGTGTCCTAGCTCTGATTTCAGTTGCAGCTGTGATAGACAGTTGCGTGGAAGCTGAGACCCTGACGGTGAAACCCTGAAATAAACACAATCCCTGCTTTCCTGACCAGGATCCTTGTAGGGTCCCCAGCTTCCCCACTTTTTTTCTGTGTCCTGACAAAGAAACACAGAGTAACTTGCTGGCTCTGTCACCTGGCCAGCTGCATTTCCCCTGGAGGCTTGAGCCCAAGCCAGAGCCTTGAACATTACCAGGCACTGAAAAGGTATTCGGGTTGTTGCCCAAAACACGGAAAGATACTGGCCCTGGCCCTGAGCCAAAGTCCTTGAACCCTCATAAACTCCATACCCTGACCCCCTTGTTTTGGACATACTTTGGTAGAACAACTCTTTCTTTCACTGTCTGTTATGAGGATATGCTGCAGCCCACTCATTAAGTTCTCCTAATAAATGCTTTGGACTGATCACCCTGCCAGTCTTTTTGTCTTGGGCAATCTGTACTTTTCTCAGAGGTTCCCAAGGCCTACCGAAGGGACTTCATGTGCTCTTAATGGCTTTCCTCTCTCTTGTCTTACCCTATGCCCTCACTTCCTGAGTTAGCCTCCCAAGTACAGGATTACCTGTACCCAAGCCCTTAGTTCAAGCTCTGCTTTGGGAGAACCCAAGCTAAGACAATGCTCCTGGTGCCCTGCCCAAGGAACCTCAAGTTCTGGCTGTTACTTGGGCAGAGGCCTTTCTTTTCCCTTACCCCAACTCTATCGATCTGCCAGGCCCCCCTCAAATCTCTTCATTTCCAAGTTTTGCTTGACTTTTCCAAGAAGAGCAGGCTGCTTCTTAGTATGTCTCTACCACTGCATCCATTCCTTTCTTGTCTTGTATCCTGGTGCAGCCTGGTAGTGGGGTCTCTTCATGGTTGTGTGTCATGACTCCCTAACCAGGTTATAAGTCCCTTATACCTCCATGCATCCCCCATTCCTCCTGGAATCTGGCACCATGCCTTACATGGAAAAGCTGTCATTGACAGCCTGGTGAGATCCCTGAGGGTGGAGTGACTGGGGCAGGGCCCAAGGCAAGAGATGGGAGGAGGTAGGCCAGGAGTTGAAGAAAAGGGGCTCAGCCGGACCAGGAAGCTGGAAACAGGCAAAGATAAAGCAGCTGGGGGGCTGAGTTGTTTGGCTCACCTCTACAGGCCAGAGAGGCCAGGCAACATACACACTGTAGAAGGTGGACTGGGGGGATTGGGGCCAGAGCTGGGGGAGGGATGAGAAGAGAAGCAGGACCAGGGTCAGGATTCAGCGGAGTTCTCCTATTCTCTTCCACCGCCAGGTAATCTTATCTGTCCCCCTTCAGCTTATGCTGTTTCCTGGCAAGGCAGGCTCTCACATGCCTGGACGCCTGGATGTGTTGGTGATGGGAAGGAGTGGGGTGAGGGAGGGGCCCCAGGAGAGGCCCCGGATGAGCTTCATCGTGTCCCTCCCCATTCTTGCCTTGCCTTCTGCAAATGTGACAGGCACAGGACAGGAGTAGGCAACTCGCCCACTGCTGCTTAACCTTTCAGCTTCCCAGAACCCCAATCTTGCTTGCTCCCAACTTGGTAAGTAGATCTGCCCACCTTTACACCCCACCATCCACTTTTGCCCAGAGGTACTAGGATTGGGGCTGGGAAGAAGAGGCCAGACTAGAGGAGTGGTGGTAGAGATAGTGACAGCCTGGGGTGAGAACTTTATGACTGTTTACCACTGAGCTCTGGGAAGGAGCCAGGAGTCGGGCAGGTCTACTGACTGAGAGCAGGGGATCTGGGTTCCAAGAAGGGGTAGTGTTTCAGGCGGGGTTTGGGTCCTCGTGGAAGTCAGGACTCACAGGCAGAAAAGAGGCAGGCTGCAGGGAAGTCAGGAGGAGGCATGGCCCCTTCTCATCCGGCATCACAGGTGGGGTTTTGCCCCACCCCTGAACGCCCTCTGTGGCCCCTTCCACCCCTCTGTAGGCCCAGAAGGATGTCGGTCTGCTACCGTCCCCCAGGGAATGAGACACTGCTGAGCTGGAAGGCTTCGCGGGCCACAGGCACAGCCTTCTTGCTGCTGGCTGCGCTGCTGGGGCTGCCCGGCAACGGCTTCGTGGTGTGGAGCTTGGCGGGCTGGCGGCCAGCGCGGGGGCGACCGCTGGCGGCCACGCTTGTGCTGCACCTGGCACTGGCCGACGGCGCGGTGCTGCTGCTCACGCCGCTCTTCGTGGCCTTCCTGACCGGGCAGGCCTGGCCACTGGGCCAGGCGGGCTGCAAGGCGGTGTACTACGTGTGCGCGCTCAGCATGTACGCCAGCGTGCTGCTCACCGGCCTGCTCAGCCTGCAGCGCTGCCTCGCCGTCACCCGCCCCTTCCTGGCGCCCCGGCTGCGCAGCCCGGCCCTGGCCCGCAGCCTGCTGCTGGCCGTCTGGCTGGCCGCCCTGTTGCTCGCCGTCCCAGCCGCCGTCTACCGCCACCTGTGGAGGGACCGCGTGTGCCAGCTGTGCCACCCGTCGCCGGCCCACGCTGCTGCCCACCTGAGCCTGGAGACTCTGACCGCCTTCGTGCTTCCTTTCGGGCTGATGCTCGGCTGCTACAGCGTGACGCTGGCGCGGCTGCGGGGCGCCCGCTGGGGCTCCGGGCGGCACGGGGCGCGGGTGGGCCGGCTGGTGAGCACCATCGTGCTTGCCTTCGGCTTGCTCTGGGCCCCCTACCACGCGGTCAACCTACTGCAGGCGGTCGCCGCGCTGGCTCCACCCGAAGGGGCCTTGGCGAAGCTGGGCGGGGCCGGCCAGGCGGCGCGAGCGGGAACTACGGCCTTGGCCTTCTTCAGCTCCAGCGTCAACCCGGTGCTCTACGTCTTCACCGCTGGGGATCTGCTGCCCCGGGCAGGTCCCCGTTTCCTCACGCGCCTCTTCGAAGGCTCCGGGGAGGCCCGAGGGGGCGGCCGCTCTAGGGAGGGGACCATGGAACTCCGAACTACTCCTCAGCTGAAAGTGGTGGGGCAGGGCCGAGGCAATGGAGACCCCGGGGGTGGGATGGAAAAGGACGGTCCGGAATGGGACCCTTGACCCCAAAACCTACAACCTGCTGCCCTTGCCTGTCCCTTACCATCCCCTCACCCTCCGGAGCTCAGTGTTCTGGAACGTTTGGGGACCCTTTGACTAGAGTTTGGATCTGGCTGGGTAGGATTACTATACACCTGGGGCAGGCTCAGGTTCCTCCAAACTGAGGGATTATGAATGTGGTGATGGTCCCTGTTAAGGACTATTTTGTGCTTGCAGGTTGGCATGTACCCATGTACCAGCACTGCTTACTTGTTGCCAATAGCTGTTATTGTGAAATACACTGGGAAGCCATTAGATGGTGACTTAAGTGTGCTCCCCCTTATTCCCCCCCACCGACCTGTGGTTCTTCATGCCTGAGTTGTACTGAAGCCACCTAGTTCCCTGTGGATCAAGCCAGGGTTGGGCAGTGCTGGCCTTCAGTGGCATCTTGTCCTTCCCTCCCCAGCCCAGGTGTCCTGGTTCCACAGGCCAACCCATAGAACCACTCTGGAAATAAAGGAGACAATGGAAGGAGAGGCATGGGAACTTGGATGAGGGGTAGGAATGGGATCCATTATTTGAGGTTTATAAAAGCCTCTGGGGGAGGAAATGGCTCTGGAAGGGGAAAGTGAATCTGTGGATTTGAAAAGGAAACTTTTCCTGCATGTCTTGTGTTTGGTCCAGTGGATGTGAGAGGCACAAAAGGAGTTGACAGTGTACGGGCCCTGGGAGTCTGAGACTTACCTTCCTCTCTGACCATCTGATCATCCCTGCAAAGGCCACCTGATGTGAAAAGGGGCCCAGGAGCAGGCATTCACTCAGGGAAGTCTGGGGGTTGACTATCAGGGGCTATGAAGAATGGCAGGAATATTTAGAGGACAGCAATAACTTTTTCAGGAAAGTGACACCTCTTCTTTTTCTCTCTGTCAAGTCTGGGCTCCTTCCAAGATGCTGTTAGCTATTCCTAGCCCCTTCCCCAATACTTCTCTGCCCCCATTTTTTGGAATCTATAGCTAGGTTTAAAAACAGTTCTAGATCCTGACATCTTTAATTAGGGGGACATAGAATGGGATTCTTTTCAGGGGACATCCACAAGTACACACCTGTGGTCACTAAGGCGACCAACTCATCCCAGTTGGCACAGGACTTCCCGAGTTTTAGCACTGAAAATCCCTTGTCTCAGCCCTATCAGTTTCCCAACAAACTGAGATTGTTGGCCTCTTGAATGGCTACCCTGATCATCACCTCCGTTTCTATGTTAGTGACTGTTTACACCTCCCTGTCCCCCAGATAGAGGTCAAAACAGAGCAAAGGAAACCCAGTCCCCAGGGCCATCCTAGGGCCACCAAAACTGGAGTGAATTAGAACCTGTGAACTAGAACAGCAGGGAGTATGCTTAGAGCTCCTGGTCCTGGGTGTGGGGAAGAAAGGCCATCAAGGGAGATGTGGGTGGGGAACAGCTTGAGAGAGGAGGCAAGGACAACCCAGTTTCTATCTGAAGGGTCCTCTGGTTGACCCTGGCTTCTATTCCCAAACACAGGTCTCAGGGGATTCTTTCTGTCCTCATGCACTGGGCAGAGGTTCCCTAACTTCCTCTGTTACATATTCCCCATCTCTCACACCCCATGTGGTCAGAAAGCCCTTCCTTAACTCTGACTTCAGTTCTTGCTGTGGTTTCAGCCCATATCTTTTTTATCATATCCTCTGCCTGACAGCTATGAGGTCAACTCTAGTCTGGCTTTTCTCCAAGCATAGCAAGTGGAGGCTCTGGAAAGGTTAAGGACCTCAGTGATCACCATTACACTTTACATATTTCCTAAGAAGTCAGAGTTGAAAGGGAAGCAGGAAAGCTCATGGTCAGATTGAAGGAAGGAATTTTTAGTTCCTTTTTTTTTTTTTGAGACGGAGTCTCGCTCTGTCACCCAGACCCTGAAGTGCAGTGGCACAACCTTGGCTTACTGCAGCCTCCATTTCCTGGGTTTAAGCGATTTTCCTGCCTCAGCCTCCCAAGTAGCTGAGACTATAGGCACATGCCACCACCCCCAGCTAACTTTTGTATTTTTAGTAGAGATGGGGTTTCATCATGTTGGCCAAGCTGGTCTCAAACTACTGACCTCAATCAATCTGACCGCCTCAGCCTCCCAAAAGTGCTGGGGTTACAGGTATGAGCCACCACACCCGGCCAGGAATTTTTAGTTCTTAGCTTCTGCAGGAGACTTCAAGGAAAGGGGATGCTCCTCTGTCCAGGAAGGGGGATGCTCCTCTGTCCAGGAAAGGGGATGCTCCTCTGTCCAGGAAGGGGGATGCTCCTCTGTCCAGGAAGGGGGATGCTCCTCTGTCCAGGAAGGGAGATGCTCCTCTGTTCAGGAAAGGGGGATGCTCCTCTGTCCAGGAAAGGGGATGCTCCTCTGTCCAGGAAGGGGGATGCTCCTCTGTCCAGGAAAGGGGATGCTCCTCTGTCCAGGAAGGGGGATGCTCCTCTGTCCAGGAAAGGGGATGCTCCTCTGTCCAGGAAAGGGTATGCTCCTCTGTCCAGGAAGGGAGATGCTCCTCTGTCCAGGAAGGGGGAAGGGTGACCATTTCCGCATTCCCACTTTCTCTTCTTGGCAGGGTGGGCATGAAGTATCACTGTTCCTGCTTCTCATGCTCAGGCTCAACTTCCTCTGTGTGTCTAAAGTGGAACTCGATAGTGGACTATGGGAAGATAGGAAAGAGGTGGTGCCAATCTCCTTGCCCAGATCTTAAATCCAGACTCAGCAGGGTAACCACACGGGCAAGCACAAGGCAAGTGTCTGGGAAAAGGGGAAGTGATTGGCATTCTGTGCGATACCAAAAAGACCATTTTTATTTTGGCTTCTACCAAAGAGAATGGAGAATTGGTTGACCTAAATGGAACCATCCCTTTAAGTAAGGGGAGAGAAGGGGGTGCTAGGAGATGGCCCTCTTCCCACACCCAGATCATAGCTTGAACTTAAGCCAAGGACAGAGTTCTTCCCCCTTCGGCATTTACTGATGTACCTTCTTTAAATTACGATGTTATCTAACCCAAACCCAGACCCAGGACCTAGTCACAGCTCCAACCTACACTTTCTATTAATCTGGAAAAAAAAAGCAACGAACTACATTATTAATGCAAAAAGCAAAGATATCAGCATTCTAGCCTCTTGATCTGAGGCCCATTTTCCTTCTCTGGCTTCCTCACCTCCTCCCATATGATACGATTCACTACTTTGTTCAGTTCTCCAGTCTAGACCTGCATCTTGAGGCCACACCCAGCCTACTCACTCCCCACACCCCTCTTTCGTCTCTCACTACCCCTTCCTGGTCTCTTCTCATCTGGCCCCATCTCTGAGGAGTACTCCTGCCTTCTGGGTTGCCTGGAACACACACTATCCCCCCTCCCAGTGAAGGGAGTAGGTGAGGGTTTCAGCCCCACCCTTAGGAAGATGCATCTTCCCCCTCCCCTGCTACGTGGTACTTCCTCTCTGGCTGACTTAGCTAACAGCCCTAGACCTGGGGCCCGGCCCTTGGCACTGGGACAGGTCCAGGAATAGGCTACACCACCCTGCCCTGACCCTGAGATTGGCACCAGCTTCCAACCAGTACCTGCCAAAGCGTGTAAGTAAGTATCCTGGGAACGGCAGTGGTTGGGGTGGTGGTGGGACGGTGTGCAGCCATGAAAGAAGGTGCAAAGGAATCTCCAAAGAAAAGTCTGAGCAGTGTACAAAGTTGGGAGGCTTTGTCCTCGTCACTTGTCCACTAACTCCTCTCCATCCCTGTTATTTCTGGTTGACCTTGGGCATCTCTGGGGACAGTAGGCAGGTGATTGGGAAAGTTATGGGATTGAGGGACTCAGAGCCTGGCGGGGGCAAAAAAGCTGGCCTTTCAAGGGGTGCAGCATTGGTAGGAAGTCTCTCAGTTTGGTCCTGGGCCTCAGGGTCTCCTAAGGAGAGGAGGCTGAAAAGGTCTGGAAATGCTGCTGCTGCTGCTGTGGTCACTGTATATTTTGCAATTGGGTCTGCGGGCAGGAAGAGGCCCCACAACCCAGTTAGGAAACTAGTCTTTGTACTCAACCAGATCCCTTTAAGACAGTTGGCCAGCGGTGGGGGCAGTATATTTCAGAGGGACCTCTGATGCTGCTGACCCTGGAGACAGACTGGAGTTCTCAGGCTAGGTGTCTCCGTGGTGTCAGGAAACACTTGGTCCTCTACTCTCATGCGTGTGTCCACACTCACTCTCCAGGTCCTCCCGACGGCCATGAACACTACATCTTCTGCAGCACCTTCCTTGCTAGGTGTCAAGTTCATCTCTCCGCTGGCTATCATCCTACTGTCAGTGGCGCTGGCTGTGGGGCTTCCCGGCAACAGCTTTGTGGTGTGGAGCATCCTGAAAAGGATGCAGAAACGCTCTGTCACTGCTCTGATGGTGCTGAACCTGGCCCTGGCCGACCTGGCCGTATTGCTCACTGCTCCCTTTTTCCTTCATTTCCTGACCCAAGGCACCTGGAGTTTTGGACTGGCTGGTTGCCGCCTGTGCCACTATGTCTGCGGCGTCAGCATGTATGCCAGCGTCCTGCTCATCACAGCCATGAGTCTAGACCGCTCGCTGGCGGTAGCCCGCCCCTTTGTGTCCCAGAAGTTACGCACCAAGGCTTTGGCTCGGCTGGTGCTGGCAGGCATCTGGGTGGTGTCCTTTCTGCTGGCCACACCCGTCCTCGCGTACCGCACAGTGGTCTTAAAATCGAACAACATGAGCCTGTTTTGCTTCTCGAAGTACCCCACTGAAGGGCACCGGGCCTTCCATCTAATCTTCGAGGCCCTCACGGGCTTCCTGCTTCCCTTCCTGGCTGTGGTGGCCAGCTACTCCGACATTGGGCGCCGGCTGCAGGCCCGGCGCTTCCGCCGCAGCCGCCGCACCGGCCGCCTGGTGGTGCTCATCATCCTGGCCTTCGCCGCCTTCTGGCTGCCCTACCACGTGGTGAATCTGGCCGAAGCAGGCCGCGCGCTGGCCGGCAAGGCCGCAGGGTCCGGGACCCTGGGGCTGAAGCTGCAGCTGGCCCGCAAAGTGCTCATCGCGCTCGCCTTCCTGAGCAGCAGCGTGAACCCCGTGCTGTATGCCTGTGCCGGCGGCAGCCTGCTGCGCTCGGCGGGTGTGGGCTTCGTGGCCAAGATGCTAGAGGGCACGGGCTCCCAGGTGTCCAGCACCCGCCGCGGGGGCAGTGTGGGCCAGAGCGTCAAGAGCGTCCCCGCCACTCTGGAGCCCGGCCCTGCCGAGAGCCTTACTGCCACCTCCAGTCCTCTAGAGTCAAGCGAACTGACCTAGGCCTCGTGGAAGGACGCTCACTTTTCTCCTGGCAGAATGCCAGCTCTGAGCCAGGAGCAGCAGGGGTATGGACAGCATTGGGGCGTGGGAGGCGGGGGGGGGGGGGCGGGGGGAGAAGTGGAAGAAGAGGGAGGGCTGGAGCAAGTGAGAGCAGAGTGAGAGAGTGCTCCAGCCTGGCTCCCACAGGCAGCTTTAACCATTAAAATTGAAGTCTGAAATTGCGTCAGCCTTGTTGAGTGGGGTACATGTGCTGTGGCTATCAGGTTGCTCGTGGGCATCCTGGTGGGGCCCCTCTCAGTAGTTTAGAGTCATGTCCTTTGGTTCCCCATGATTTACAATGTTGGAAGGGACACAAAGACAGACATAGACTGCCCCCAACCTAGAAGATTCCAAGTCCATAGTCTGCAGATCATACTTAGCAAAATACAGTCCACAGACTCTGAAAGCAGCTTGTCTAGAAAGACAACCCATGCAGGCTTATCACTCCAGGCCCTGTGACTCAGGGACCTTTTGAGAAAACAGAACTGCTGTGAAACATCTTCCCTGAAGCCTGTGACAGGTATCCTTGTTAGCATGACCCCAACTTACTGCCAATAATCTTTGTCCTCTCCATAGGAGATGTTCCTGGGGACTGCCTTCCTTCCCTCCATTTCACAAGGAAACCAGACTTGAGGACCAAGTTATTAGATCTTATTCCATAGAATTCTGCACATCAGCATCTGCTAACCTCCACAACACACTCTGGTACAGGGTGGGGCTGAGGGCCCCAGGAAACAAAGATTCCCAAAAGTGAGAGGCATAAGTCATTATTTCCCAGAGATGACTGTTGTTGTGGAGAAACTTGATCAAACTCTGTTCTGACAAGGTTTTAGGAAGATGGCAACAACAGTGGCAGCAGTGTACTTTTTGGCTCTTTCTCATTACAAAAACAAAACAGCAAGTAGGAGAGTGAAGCCAAATATCCACATGCAACATCCACAGCAAACCTAGTATGTTAAGATATCTCCCATGGACCCAAAAATATGAGCCAGTGAGAATGAGCTGTCAATACCTCAAGACCCATGTACCAGCATCTGTGCAGACGGATGCAGAAGGAAGCAAAGGGATATCGGATGGACCTCTAAACTGTCCACAGGTCCTTACTGGAAAGCATAGTGTACCAATCAGAACAGCAGCGGAAACTGGGAGGGACCTAATAGATTATTTCCCAGGCCTCTCACCCATTCTGTATAGTGAGCACATAATAGGTACTTATTTAGTGTTTGTTGAATGAATAAAGTTCAAATGACATTTCCCTGGAGATTCCTCCAATATTTGTGAATAGTGGGCAGGAAAGGGTAAATCTTTGTTTTGAGTCTTGTGGCCAAATTATGCTTCCAAGGTGTACAAAATACTGGAATAAGTTGACAGAGAGGCTGAGGGAGTTATCTTTGTGAAAAAAATCACTCCCTTCCAACATGCTCAGTCTCATATGCATGCATGTGTGCACACATGTGTGTGCACACACACACACAGATTTGGCCTGGGAAGAATACTTCCAGCTGAAGGGCAAAGAGAAGGTGATCCCAAGCTATATAAACAGCTTCTGACATCAGTGGGCTCCAGACATCCCAGAGTCTTCTCTTTATTGAGGTTCTTAGAAGGGGAATAGGGTCTCAGCCTAGGGTTGCTGAAGGAGGTCCAGTTCGTGTCAAGTCTGTGTTCAGAAAGTAGGTGCAGAGCTGCCCTTTGCCTTTCACCTTGATGACACCCCGGCTGTAGCAGGTGTAGCCCAGGGACTGTAGGGCCCAGGCTGTCTCCTCAGTCACCTACAATTGGAGGGGGTGAGGGAATATGGAGGTGGCCCTATTCTTAGTCCCCCTCCCCATGCCTCCAATGTGGTTTTCTCACTTGGATTTTGCCAAGGACTCCTGTGCTCTCCATGCGGCTGGCCACATTCACTGTGTTGCCCCAAATGTCATATTGTGGCTTCTGGGCCCCAATCACTCCAGCTACTACTGGCCCATGGTTCAACCCTGATAAGGGATGTGGTAATGACAGACTTGGAGAAGGAAGAGGGAAAGAGGAAGCACAAGAAATTGGAAGGAAGGGAGAAGGGCATGGGGGGTGGCCCTAGAGGAGAGGAGGTGTCGCTAAGGCTGGAGGAATGTAGCTTAAGAAAAAGAGTAAGAAAGTATTGTACTTCCTGGGCCAGCAGCTGCACACCCCATCCCAGGGAGTCAGTCTGGAAAGGGGCTTCAGGGATGAACTGGGAGCAACTAACAAAGGACTTGGAGTCGGGCAAGCTCAGGAAGGTGAGAGGTACCAGACTGCTGCAGCAGGGGAGGTCTCTCACCCACACGCAGGCGGAAGTTGTTGAATGAGTGCTTGTTGATGACATCCAGCTTAGACCCCAGGGCCACGGCAAACTCTACCATAGTGCCAAGGTGGCTGCAGCTCCGCTCAGCATCCTGGCAATGGGCCCCCCCCACCAGGGTGGGCCAGTAAGGGCACAAGAATAAGTCCCACTGTTGGGCCCATCAATGAGAGACCAGAGGAGGGTGGTAGGTAAGGAAGGGTCGCCATACCTGTTGTGCATCCTGCCCAGAGGTGGCATTTAAGCCTGTGGCTGCCATGTAGGTGCTGCCGATGGTTTTGATCTTCTCCACCCCACTGAACTTGGGCTTGGAGAGCAACTGTATAGAGAGGAGGCCTGTCCCCAGTCTCTCTTGCTCCTTCCCTCCCCTCTCCCAGAAGCCCAGCCCTAAGCCTTTGGAGCTAAAGGATCAGGCTGTGGGAGTGGGGATGGTGTCAGGAAGGAGAGGGTTGGTGGTGAGCAATGTTGCTGGAGTGGGTAGAGCTGGGGGATCAGAGGAGGTGAGCGGGTGCTGTGGAAGGGAGGATTGACCTCATGGCCAGAAGAGCAAAGTGGAAGGAGGGACTGGTGGGAAATTCTAGGGACACAGGGTCTGGGAGACTCTTGGAGTTGTCACCTCATCAAAATCAGCAATTATTTCATTGAGCAGCCTCAGACACTCTAGGCCCTCACGATTGATGTCAGATTCAGAGTAGAACTCCTTGAAGTCCGGGACTGAGGCGAAGAGGACACAAACACATTCGTAGGACTGGTGGTAGAGATCCTGGGAGAGCAGGAGACTGAAGTGAGGGGTTTGTATCACGTTCCTCCCCCTTCTGGGTCTGTGTGGGACCCTCCTCCCTGTGTCCACACTCCTGGTCTCCCTGTTGAAGAAGAATTGGGAAGGAGGGAGAGGAGTAGGGCCAGGCTACCCCAGGGATATGACTTAGGAGTCAAAGCTTGGATCTCATTGTGATTCCAGAAGAGACAGAAGTTTGGGGTCAGGATCACCTCACAGCAACATGCAGGGAGTCACTCCTAGAACTGGGATCCTGTCAATGTGAATTATTTTTATATCCCATCTTATTGCTGAAAGGTGTTTAATTAAGCCGGCTACAAAACCAAAGGTATAAAGTGTTTAAGTCACTTAAGATAGGTACAGAATGAAAGATAAAATAAGCAACAATAGGGACTATGGGGCAAAGGGAAAAGAAGGGCAAGATGATAAATATGAATCAGATCTGAGGGTGGCTCACAAAATGAGTGCCATGAAGTCCTTTTTAGACCTAGATTTTGGCTCTCAGCTTTCTAGTAGCCAAAGTGAAGAGAGAAAAGGATCGATTACAAGATTTCCTGTGTCTGTAAGAGAAGAAACAAGAAGCAGAACTACTCCTGGTCTTGAAAGCAGGGAGCAGGTGGCGGGGGCATAAGGCTGTGGAAGAGCTCTGGAGCTGTGTCTTTTAACACCCCTCAATATGAGCCAAGAGCATTTCCACAGCAGAAGGCCAGCAGGTGGTGGTACAAGTAAGATGGTACAAATATGTGGGTGACTTCCTGATGGTTTGGCTAGAGCAAGAGTTTTGAGGATCTAAAGCAGCAGCATCCAATAGAAACTTTTGCAGTGGAAACGTTCTCTATCTGCAGTGTCCAATTCGGGGGCCACTAGCTGCAGTGGCTGTTGAGCTCTGAAAATGTGGCAGGTAAAACGGAGGAACTGAATGCTTTATTTTAATTAATTAATTTTAAATTTTCATAGGGCTAATGGCTACCATATTGGATAATGCAGGTCTAGAGAGAGGGGTGGACTGTATCCTCCAGACCAGTGGTCCCCAAACTTTTTGACCCAGATGGAATCAGATCTGAAGGTAATTCACAAAATGAGTGCCGTAAAGTCCTTTTTAGTCCTAGATTTTGGATGGGTTTTGTGGAAGACAAGTTTTCCACGCACCTGGGCAGCGGTGGGGGGATGGTTTTGGGATGAAACTGTTCTATTTCATCAGGCATTAGTTATAGGTTGGTGCAAAATTAATTGCATTTTTTTTTGCCATTAAAAGTAATTAAAGCCAGGTGAGGTGGCTTACTCCTGTAATCTCAGCATCTTGGGAGGCTGAGGTAGGTGGATCACTGAGGTCAGGTGTTGGAGATCAGCCTGGCCAACATGGTGAAATCTTGTCTCTACTAAAAAAAAATAAAAATTAGCCAGGCATGGTGTCGGGCATCTGTAATCCCAACTACTCAGGAGGCTGAGGCAGGAGAATCGCTTGAACCCAGGAGGCGGAGGTTTCAGTGAGCTGAGATTGTGCCATTTCATGCACTCCAGCCTGTGAGACACGAGTGAAACTCTGTCTCAAAAAAAAAAAAGTAATTACTTTTAATTGTATTATTTTTAACGGCAAAAACTGCCATTAATTTTGCACCAACCTAATCGACTACCACAAGGAGTGCACAGCCTAGATCCCTTGCATGTGCAATTCACAATGGGGTTTGAGTTCCTCTGAGAATCTAATGCCTCTGCTGATCTGACAGGAGGCGGAGCTCAGGCAGTAGTGCTGGCTCACCACTCACCTCCTGCTGTGTAGCCTAGTTCCCAACAGGCAATGGACCAGTACTAGTCTGCGACCTGGAGGTTAGGGATCCCTGCTCCAGACAGCTCCCATCAACACCTGACTAAGCTTCCGGAATGAATGGAGTGGTCATGAGTTAGAGAAGACATGCCTTCTAAGTAAGAATTTGAAATACAGAAATTTTGTGTTCACCAAAGACAGAACCTAAGATCTTGTGAAAACGAAGTCGCTTGACAAGCAAAAGGGCTTGGGTGTGGGGGGTCTAGAGAGGACGGGTCATAGGTCAAGACTTTCATCTGAAATGAGGCCCTAAGGTATCCCAGGCTTAGGAGTCAGGGGGTTAGGAGTCACCTCGTTGCGCCGGTTCTGGCCAATGAACTGGGGGGCCACGTGCGCAGGGAGCACATTCTCCAAGAGCAGCCGAGTCAGGTTCTCCATCGTCTCTGTCTCCTCGCGCTCCTGCCTCAGCTTCTTCTTCCACAGGAAATCCAGGCGGCAGTAGTACTCATTCTGGGGAGGGTCACCAAGGGCCATGGGGAGACACAGAGCAGGGGAGGCCCAGCTCCTGCGTGTTAAGCCCCAACTCCATGTTGCCTGAAACTAGCCCCACCCTATCCCCAGTTTAGGGCTTAAGGTGCAAGTATCCTTGGAGAGAGACTATCCTTGAAACTAGATTCAGACTAGTGATACAGAAGTGGCAACGGACTTTTTCTTATGCATGGGCTTTCCCAGATTGGGGCGTGGGAGAAAGAAGGGGTGGGGAGGGAAGGAGAAAGAAAGGGAGCAGGAAACCTTGCTTAGAAGCTTCCAACAGGCATTCAACACTGGAAATTAGAAAGACCAAGTCACAAATGTGGGACCAGTCATAGGTGTGCCCTGGAGGGCTGAGCTGGGTGACTTACCTGGCGAGCCAGGACAAGGAGGGTGAAGAAGAAGATGAAGAAGGAGATAGCACCCATCAGTTTGGGCTCCTTCAGCACTCCTGGCCTGAGGGAGCCATGGATCAGGGTTGTCCCTCGCTCTGCCCCTTCCTGGCCGCCTCCCTGCCCCCAGTGCCCATGTAGGCCTCCACTTCCCTCCCGCTTTGCCCTGTGGGTGATTCAGTTCAGTGAGGCCAGGACAGCTCTGCTGTGTCCCATCTCACCCCCATCCCAGGGGGTCCAGCACCTCTGTCCAGCAGCTGTGCACACCTGGAGTCCAAGGGGCCCAGATAGAGGCGGGTGATGAGGCAGTCAGACAGCCAGGCATGGGAGTGCAGGAAGAGGGAGCAGGAGGCCGCCAGCCACAGCAGGAGCAGCAGCAGCTTCAGCTCGAAGCTCATGTGCAGAAAGAGGGAGCAGGAGAGGAAGCCCAGAACGCAGCAGTGCATGGAGTACTGTGGGGCCAGGCAGGGATCAGGAG